GTTTTTGGAATAAAGTAAATCATTATTATTATTATTGTTATTCTTTGAGATAGTTGTTGATAGAGGTATGCAGTAGTTTGATGGAAATGCATTTCATGATGTGTGTTTCGAGTTTCTGACTGACTCACGCAGACTGATTACGCTTTGGAGTTCAGAAGACTGTCAAACTGATTTCAGACCGATGAAGCTATCTATGTCTACCGACTGTCTGTAGTTTAAACGATGGTGGGTAGAGATACGCAGAGGAACTGACCTCTTTCATATTTATTCCATCGATTGTTGTTTGACTATCTTCATCACTTCCGTCTTCTCTATGTTCATTTGACTTCCTGTCTCCGCTTCCTTTTTCAGCCGGTTTTCTGCTTTTCTCCAGTAAGTCTTCGAGTTTATGTGACATTAGGCATAAATCATCAACGTGAGAAATCCAGGTCTTTTGGAGTCACCTTATCGATTAGTCCAAAGTATTCCTGCCTTTTTCCTCCTCACACAGACTTTTGCATAATCCAGTCCACCATAATTAGGAATATCATCTTGAGTGATAGCAGGCAGGTGGACTTGTCTTACTTGTGTCTTTTCTTCGGTGACTTAGCTAAGTTTCCCAGTATTGATCACTTGACGTCTGACACTGTATTATAGCTATTGAATAAAGTTCATAAAGATTTCGAGGCACTGCACTCCATTGTGTTGAAGTGATTGGCAAATTGCTGTTTGGTCAACGCTGTCGAAGGCTACTTCAAAGTCGATAAATCTAAGCTAGAGTAAGATTTGACTGCTATTCCATGCTTTGTTCAAAATAATGCGTAACTAGGAACAGTTTCAAGCATTGGAGTGTGGTGATTAGTACTTCTCACACTGAATCTAGCCACTAGAATTCAGGTCTCAGGAAGGATTTGTTAGAGAACCATTGGAAAGCCTGGGAGTACTGGACAGCTGGGTCGTCAGCCGAGTTTGGGACTCTTCAGCAGTACGCACCCAACACGGGCGGGCGTTCGAACCCAGGACCTTCTAGTTACAAGGCTAGCGAGCTCGTATACCAATAGGCCACTGGGACCCGATCTAATGGCCTATGAATTCTAACTTCTGCCAAATCATGACATAGCGCCACCCCCAACCAATATCTTCGGCAAGTATTTGTCCTCACAGCCGACCTGCTGCATCCTACTTGCTACGAAGACAATGGCTAGGGGTCGCGCTATGTTATGAATTGACAGAAGTTAGAATTCATAAGCCATTAGATCGGGTCCCAGTGGCTTATTGGTAAACGAGCTCGCTAGCCTTGTAACTAGAAGGTCCTGGGCTCGAACTCCATGATGTGGGTGCGTATTGCTGAAGAGTCCCAAACTAGGCTAACTACACAGCTGTCCACTACTCCCAGGTTTTCCAATGGTTTTCAAACTAATGTCAACTCATGAATACTTGTATTGGAACTGATTGTTTCTTTGACTTGAACTTCGACCCTTTGTGTGTGAGGTTTCTTTCTTATCAGTTGATAAGTTTTGTCTATCTCGAGGTGTCTATTGAATTGGTGATTCACTGGAATGCCAGGTTTATAAAATTTCTCTAGCATTCTTGTTGTTTCTTCTATCTAATATTTGAACGTTCATTGTCCCACTTGAATTGATCTCCATGGAGTAAGGAATAAAAGAAGACAAGCAAACAAACATCACTTCATTAGAAGTCAACACGGTTGTTATCCTGATAGTGGAAGTTTTTGGATGCTTTTCTTTTGTATAGAAAACTCTGGTTTTTCTGTATGGATCGCTAGGAATTTAGCAATGCACAAACGAGACGAAAGCGTATTGACTTCGGCAGGCTGGTCATTCTTCTTTACTTTTTAGATCACTTTGAAGAAGGAGGAGTAGTTTGTTGTGAGATAGAATGACTAGCGTTGACAAGATTTTCGATGATTGCCACTACTACCTTTTTTTGTAGCCATGCTGTGAGGTAATGTTCTTGAACCTTTCTGGACAGGATACGTGTTAAACAACCAATGAACTTGGCTTTGCAGTAACAGATGAACAGATATATATGCACACAGAAGTGGCCAGATGTGAGATCTTGTCATTAAACCTTCTGCAGATCAGTGGATGACTGGAGAACCATACTCTTAACGTTGCTGCAAAGAATGTTCGTTTCAAAGATGCTTAAACTCCTCTCTTGACGGTATCACAAGTTAAGTCCCCCTTGAAATCCAGATTTATGTTTCTTTTTTGAAAGAAGTGATGTCTCGTTCCTCTGAACCTTTGGTTTAATATTCTTGGCAGGTATTCATTTTGGTGTTGACGGTTTCTTTCAGAATATCCCATTCTGCTTGCAGGGCATCAGGCTAACAGATGTGTTAGATCCTAGTGGAAAGAGATTTAATTAGATTTCGTTTCCTCTCAATAGGTACTCAGCTGTAGAAATATGTTTGTTGACCGTTCCAAGTGGGTCTTATTATTCTAGGCAACACAGCCACCTCATTTAATATTGTCTAGACACCATCAGCAAAAGAAGACAATAAGGCAATTTTATATTAAAGTTTTCGCTGAAGTGATCTTGTCTAGAAGGTCAACAAGGAAAGCTTCGTAATCTAAATCAACTAGCCATCTCAATGAATACAACTTCGTCACCTATTATTCCAAAACCATAAGTTTTTGATGTGGGGATCTTAGGGTAACATGAAGGAGATTGCATGGTTAGCGGGTAGGAATTGACAGCCTGTGATCCATCGTGGGGCCTGCTAAAGACGACTGTAAATGACAACAGGACAAAGTAGAGATATGATAGCCAGTCTACCTTCAGCTTGATTACAAAGGTGAAAATATTGCAGCGATTATCAACAGAAGGCTGAGTACATCACTAGCCATAGCGTATCCTGCAGCTAAGCTCGTTCCCGTCTATCGAACAACTTACTCTTTGGTGCAATCGAAAATCGATAGATATCCTTCTCATGTTACCTCCAACTGTGTATACAAATTTACATGTATCTGCGGGAGCAGTTACATTGGACGGACAGAAAGAAGGGCATATCTACGATTTTCCGAACATGTACCAAAAAGCTTACGTCTAAAGGGAACAAATGCTTTAAATAGTGCCATCACCAGGCATCTTCTCGACACGGGTCATGAGGTGGACGTTGAAAAATCGTTCAAAATTATCAATAAGCAAAATAGCTCCATTCTCCTTAAGTTTGCTGAAGCCATTTCCATCAAGCGCATGAAACCTGATTTATGCGTCCAGAAAGAAGCGGTTATCAGCCTTTCTTTGCCCTGGTAACTGGATAATTTCACCTCTCTTTCCTCCGAATGTGAAATGCTAAAAGTTTCCATTGTGTTTGATTATTATTGTTCGGAATAGTGGTTAATATTGCATATTTATATATGTATATTTTTAGTGTATGCGTATATTGATCGATTGATTTTTTGTTTAAACTGAACTCTGTGCAAGTATGTTAAAATTGTTGTTGTAGATATATTTAATAATGTCTTTGCCATGTAAGCAGCTGACGAGAAGGCAACGAAATAAAAGATGGTACCATTTTATTCTGCTAAAACTGTAGTTCTTGCATTGTTCAAATTCATTAAGGGGAATAAATGTATGAAGATATGATACTATTGAAAGCCTATGCGTTGATCCACTCTGTCACTCCTTATTATTATTTCCTTTAATTCCTAGGGGAACATGGGGGTTCAGCCGCAAGTCTCCACTGCGGTTGGTTCTCTGCTAGAGTTTTCACCTGGCTCCAAGTCTGCCCACAACATGCTTTCATCTCCTCTTCACATCACCTCCTCCATGTCACCCTCTCACTGACGACCAACTCGCCGCTTCCCTTTCGGGTTCCACTCGAGCAATGGCTTGTCTAGTGATGTCACTTGGTGGTTTGTTTTCTCAGAGTATGGCCAATCCATTTTCATTTCTTCCTGCTTGTTTGTTGCACAATCGGTTCCTAGTTGGTTCGCTCCCAGAGATCTCCCACTGTTGCTGATTCTTTCTGGCCGGCCATCTGATCTTGAGTGGTATTGAGCGAAGACAACTGTTAATGAAAGTCTGAAGTTTGTTTGAGATGCTCTTTATGACACGCCGAGTCTCTGATCCGTATAGTAGTACTGACTGGCTTCACATTGGAGTTGAAAATCCGGATCTTATTTTTGATGCTGAGTGATGTTGACCTCCACACAGATTTGAGAGTAATGAAAGCTTGTCTTGCTTTTCCGATTCTGGCTTTGATATCCTCGTCAGTTTCGCCTGTACTTGAAACGATGCTTCCCAGGTAGGTGTGTAGGTGAAGGAGGTTGTTTCTTTCAGGTTCCTCCTATTTATGCTGGCTGATTGTTCTCGCTGTTGGTGTTGCCCAAGAATCTTCATCACCTGCCCCTTTTTTCCCAGTGTTCACCTGAAGGCCCATCTTTGATGCTTCTTCTGCCAACTTGTTGCTTTTCACTTGCATATCTTTCAGTCTGTGGGAAATCAGACATATATCATAATCGGTCAAGTCCAGATCCTCCAAGTTTTTTGTGCAGGTCCATTTTTTGTCTGTTTCCTCGCTGCCCACCACTGTCTGTCGCATTATCCAATCTATTGCAGTCAGGAAATTAATCATTGGAGATAGTAAGCAGCCAGCCATGTCTTACTCCCGTCTTCACTTCTTCGAAGGATTCCGTCAGTTTCCCGTTGTGGATTACTTGGCATGCAGCATTGTTGTCCAGCTGTTGGATGAGATGTATAATTGTCGGTGGCACCCTGTAGTAGTAGTAGTAGTAGTAGTAGTGTCACTCATTATAGGAGATTAATATTGACAGCAAAATGCAAATCACCTCGCCCAACCTCCCACCTCCCATTTCGTTATCTGACGCATGAAAAATATTAAAATGGTTAATTTTTATCAACGTATTAGGCAGAGAAAAACGCAAAAACAATATTTTCCAATTAACCAAAAATTGAAATAGACAACCAGACGAAAAAAAGTAGAAAAATAAAAGCCAAAAATAATAATAAAAATAATTTTTTTTTTTACTAACCATTTTTGGTTTTGATAAATTCATTTGTGAATTATTCATAATTACTGGTTGTTGTGGTTGTCGTCGATTAGCGTTGATATCCTCTGTTGTCGGCTGACTGGATCGATTAGCGCATATTCGCATAGAGGGTTGTGCTAAAGGCGGTAATGAGATGCTCGAGGTCTGTTGTGATGTAGATGATGGAAGTGAAGCCGGTGGTGGTGGAGCCGGTCGATTACCTCTATTTGCTAATGATGGGGATGATGAGGATGTTGTCGTTGTTGGTGTGCACAGGACAGATGTCTGTCTGTTATTCACTGTGGACAGTGTTGTTGTTGTTGCTACTGACGTCGATATACAACAACAACAAGTGGGTGGTCTGAATGCAGCAGCTGGTGTCTGTGATGTCAACAATTCGTATTCTAAGCCACCTGTAGGAGAAAAGATGATGAAAAAAAACAACAAAAAACAACAACAACATTTCACTCAATTTAATTATCTAATCTACCGCAAATGTATGAGATAAAATTATTTAAACAGTGAGTAGGAATCAACACTCTAGTTACAAATAAAATCTATAATTGTTTCGTCCTAGTTTGTGACTCTTCAACATCCGTTCAAGACTCCTTGTGTTCAGGATTTCACCATGAGCTGACATTGGTTACAGAACCATTGAACAGCTACCAGGGAGTACTGGACAGCCAGCCGTTTCGTCCTAGTTTAGGACTCTTCAGCAGTACGCACCCACCAAAGGGGTTCGAACGCAGGACCTTCTAGTTACAAGGCTAGCGAGCTCGTATACCATTAAGCCACTGGGATCCGATTCAATGGTCAACCTATGATTTCTAACTTCTGCCAATTCAAGACATAGCGCAACCGCTAGCCAATATCTTCGACGCGTGTTTTTCCTCACACCCAATCTTCTGCATCCTACTGGCCACGACTTCCCACTAGAATTCCAAGTGACTACCTATCTGAATAGGGCCAGTCACCAGTGAGCATCTCATTGATATTCAAGTGTTGGTTTGTAGGGATTTGATTGGTTACAGGATTACAGGGTTCTACTGAGAAGTCGTGACCAGTAGGGTGAAGCAGGTCGCGTGTGACGACAAATACTAGCCGAAGACATTGGCTAGTGGTCGTGATATGTCGTGAATTGGCTGAAGTTAGAATTCATTGGCCATCGGATCAGGTCCCAGTGGCTCATTGGCATACGAGCTCGCTAGCCTTGTGAGCAGAAGGTCCTGGGTTCGAACGCCGGCCCGTGTTGGGTGCGTACTGATGAAGAGTTCCAAACTAGGCTGACGAAACAGCTGTCCAGTACTCCCAGATGGTTTTTCAATGGCTCTCCAACGAATGTCAGCTCATGATGAAATCCTGTAACCAGTGAAATCCCTACAAACGAACACTTGAGTACTCCCTGTGTTTCTTGTCCACTGATTTTCTAAGTGATATCAATCTGTGTGCGGTCAAACATGATGAGTGAAACAGTAAGACTTACTGCATAATGCAGTTTTGAACACAGTTTGTGACTTGAAGTAATTTAGTAGGTGGATGGTGACTATCTCCAGGTAAATCCATCAGGATAAGCATTTCATCCTATTTTGGACTGGTCTACTGGATGTACCTGTGAAAGATGATGTTCCTAATGTGGTAGTTACATCCACTGGCTGACAGGTCTCAAATAAGACGAAGTGCGCATCCTGATGGATTTCACTGCAACGAGTCACCATACACCCTTCAAATTACTTCAAGGTAATCCCAGGCAACATCGAAGAATCTACACATAGGGTCGATATGTCAACACAGTGGCAGAACACTTTAGTCCAATCCATCAACGGGGAAGTTCAAGTTGAATTTAATGATTTAATGTTTATTGTAGTCAACTCCGAAAATTGTTTGTTCTAGGTCCAATTCTTCTTTCAGATTTGTCATATATATATACATATATTCTCAGTTAATTCGATGTATAATGCTTCCGCTATCAATCTTTCCTTCAATAATAGTCCTACCCTAGCGATAATCACTTTACGATGCCAGCCCATTGGGCATTCAGCCGCATAGGAACAATCCGATGAATCAAAAATTCTAACTGCTGTCAATTAGCGATTTTAAGCGAAAACCGCCAGTCAATATGGTTGCTAAGTATTTGTTCTCATTCATTTACTACTGGTGAACCCGCATTGTCATGACCTACTGCTAGAAATTCAGGTGACGTCGTCATCTAGTAGTCAGTCTTTAGGGAGCAATGGATTATTTTCCAGGTGTTAGTTTGATGGGTAAAGGGTTGGTTAATTTCAAGGTTGATCAAGACTATCTAACATCAGTTGAAGAATCGTTGGAAACGTTTCTGTGGTGACTGACTATTTCTATCTCTGTATTGTTTAAATGCTTACCGTTGATTGTTGATATGTTTCTTATGTTAATTGCATTATTACTCCGCTAAATACAAATTCCTGAATTCCGTCCTCTCTGTGTTTTGGTTGGATTCTTGTAATTCGGTCATCTCGAAATACTAATACTACGATAACAAATAATTACAACAGTTTTGTCATAGTTGGGTACTCTTAATAAGCAAGCAGCGGTGACCCTGTCAGGCAAGTATCGAATCCAGTACCTTCAGATTATGCTGGTGAGCTCACTGACTATTCAGTCATTGAGAAAGAAGAAGACGTAGTTGACCTACTCTAGATAGATTACCAGGAATGCAGTAGGTAATCAAGGACACCTATCCTAGTTCTATTGAGTGTACAGCGTCTACCAAGTAGGCTGAGACTGCACTATTTACGATGCATCTGGTTTCCCCTTTACCCATGTTTACTCATGGATAAAACCCTCTGAGTACTTCCAATGTAACTAGCTTCACGTCAGTCGTTGAATTCATAGATGCTAATTCATGTGACCATCATTGGTGATTTATCCTTGATTCGTTGTGTGAGTACTGGTTTAATCGATAAACTGAGCATCAGTTCTATTTTATGATTGAAACACACGTCTGTCTTCTTGATGAAGGAGGTCGTCCAGGAAGAACAGACTATGGTTTTCATCTCTGTCATCCTTGAAACCTGTGCTTATTTTGCCTATATATATATACATCACAATATGTGATCCATATGTGATACCATAGATGGCAATCAAGAATAAAAACATATTCGCATGAAACGATATACTACTAACGAACGGATATGAATAGTTTGCATACTATTTAATCCAAATTGAAACTACGAGGAAATTTCATCAATTCGTAAACTGTGAATAAGTTTTCTTATAGTTTTGTCAAAGGACATTGAGGATGACTAATTTACATGATATCAATGAACATACAGATGAGGTCTGCGTGTCTATGTATGTGTATTTGCGTGCGCGCGGAGTGAAATTGAAATTTGGTTGACTTTATCATGATTTAGAAGTTAGAATTCATGAGCCATTGAATCGGGTCCCAGTGGCTGAATGGTACACGAGCTTGCCTGGTAACCAGAAGGTCCTGGGTTCGAATCCCAGCGGGTACCTACTGCCGATGATTCCCAAACTAGGCTGATGAAACAGCAGCTGACCAGTACTCCCTGCAGGTTTTCAATGGTTCTCTAACTGATATCAATCCGTGATCAACTCGTAAAAACAAAACATAACTAACCCTTACAAAGCAAACTATAGAAAATTATGTATGTGTGTCAACACCTATATTCAAATTGGTAAATACAGTGGGATCTGACCTTATTTTTCACATGTTCAAAGGGCTTAGATGGATGGATATATTTGCTTCACATTCTCAATTATTAATATGATATTAGCTGCATAATAAAGTCTTTTTAACAGTAGCTTTCAATCTTTGTCTAGTTATCAAGCTGATATGATGCCCCTTATAGGGTGGGCAGCTTGATGTACATGTCTTTTTTAGGGGCAGGTTAAAGAGTCGATCTTGGTGTTCTGACTAATTTTTATCTCCTGATGAAATTGTCTGGAAAGAATCTTCAGAACCCATTAATGATAAGAACGGACGACCACCTAGCTCCTCTATTGCGAAACATATTATAGAGACAGAACATAGAATTGGCGTTAACACATCCTTAAAACTTATCTATAAAATCTGTTTGGACCCTATCCTGAAGTTTGTGGATGCCCTAGGAGGTTTGATACATCTTAATGAGTTCAAAGTAACAATTCGTCATCACAATAAACCTTCCAGGTTTCCAGATCGTAGGTGTTACGAATTTCCTGGAATAATTTGAGCACCGAGTCAGATTGATTCATTATAAATTATTTAAATTAATCCCAGCGTGCTAAGAAAATCAAAACAAGATCTGTTTTCTGAACGTTTCGCCGTGTAAGCCACAGCTTCTTCAGCAGATTTATTCGGATTATAATTAATCCTTAATAATTATGGTAACATTTTTATTATACATACATCAACAATAGGTGATATACATATGCCTTAAATATCAGACTAATTAGATAGCTGCATCATTAACAGGCCGAAGTGAAGAATAGAAATAACTGGTGAACAGCAAGCAATTAAACATGGGTGCTCTGTTTTTAATTACGGACATTAGTATTAATAGTTTAGGGGGTTGGTTTAAACATTGTATGGGGAAAAGATGAATTTGAATATACTGGGATTTAAATCATAAAATTTGTAATTAGTACAATGACCACCTACTTGAAATGTGAACCAGGAAAAAAAAGGAGTTTTATGATATAAATGCAGACATAAATATAAAACAATATAATTTCACGGGTTGATCACGGATTGATATCAGTTAGAGAACCATTGAAAACCAGGGAGTACTGGACAGCTGCTGTTTCATCCTAGTTTGGGAATCATCGTCAGTACGCACCCACTGGGTTTCGAACCCAGGACCTTCCGGTTACAAGGCAAGCTCGTATACCATTCAGCCACTGGGACCCGATTCAATGGCTCGTGAATTCTAACTTCTACTAATTCGTGATTTAGCGCGACCCCTTACAAACCAAACTATACAAAGTTAATCTGATGCTCGCTAGTGACTTGCTACAGGTTGGAGTTTCCTGAGTTCTAGTGAGAAGTCGTGACCAGTGAGGTCCAATTAGATGTCACGTGTATGGATGGATGTCCCACCAACGACAATGGTTGGGGTCGCGCTAAATCACGAATTGGTAGAAGTTAGAATTCACGAGCCATTGAATCGGGTCCCAGTGGCTGAATGGTATACGAGCTTGCCTTGTAACCGGAAGGTCCCGGGTTCGAAACCCAGTGGGTGCGTACTGCCGATGATTCCCAAACTAGGCTGATGAAACAGCAGCTGTCCAGTACTCCCTGGTTTTCAATGGTTCTCTAACTGATATCAATCCGTGATCAACCCGTAAAACATAACTAATCCTTACAAACCAAACTATACAAAATATAATTTCATCTTTTTAACTGCAGAATAAGAAATTTAAAACAAGTTATTCA